GTATATATGTTATACATATTGTGTTTTGTATTTGTTGCCTGACCTGAATATCAGGTTTTATTTTGAATGATTTTATATTTATTTCTTTTATATTAAATCTTATTTATACCTTGATAAGATTTGCTATGTATATGCAAGTGAATCCAATCCTGCTTTATTTGATGGTGGGGTATATATATTGGGTTACTTCACATTGCAGTTTCTGTCTTGAAAAAGTCCCGTGGGAGGGACGAAACGCGTAGACGGGTGAATCGGATGAACCTACACCTGCTGTGATTGAGGAGTGAGAGCAGGAAGCGGTTCTGTACTTTGGCGGTCTTTTTTCCCCATCGGATGAACTTACCTGGCATTGAAGTTATTGCGAGCGTCGGCAGTGAGTGAGTTCTGTATATATCGCGGTCTTTTTTGAAGATCCCGACCGCGATATACTTTATAGCATTTTGAGGAATCCTGTGTGCCTTTTGCTGGACTTTAACATCTCCTGAAGTATACCATTACCGCCTCCAGCTCGCATCATTCATTATTTTTATTCATTTGTCTTTTTCTACACGCTCTGTGTATGTACCTCGGTGGGGGGCCCACACCGAGGAAAGGTATTTTACAGTATATACCTAGTTTTGTATTATTTGTTACAGTTGTTATATTTGTTTCTGAGTTTGGTGGGGATAATACTCTGACACTTTGTTGTTATTTTTTACCTAGTGTCTGAGTTAACCCTTCTGACTCAGTTGTGCATTCTGCATTTCTGTAGATTTATATTTTCTCTTTCTAAGAGATACATTGTTTTTTATTCTCATCTCAGCAGGTTTAGGTCATCTGTGATCTGGTTTTTTATATTTATTATTATTTTTTTATATATATAATTTTTTTGGAATAAAATACTGTTTTATTGATTTATTTATATTTTCAATATGTTTCATGAGTAAAGAGCGCTCACGCTTTGTTTAACCTTTGAGCTTACACTCATTCATAGTCGCTAGTGGATGCGTGTAGCTGCTCCTATTTTTATTATTTTCTTACATATATTTGCACCTCTATTGTATATTTTCTATATTATTTCTATTAGTATACTAGCGCATTTTAGGTGTATGGTCAGGCAACTATTATTATTTTTATATTGGGTATAACGCTTATATTTAGGTGGTTATTACACCCTTTATATTGATATTTATTTTTTATATATCGGCATATTTGTTTTAGAATGGATCTACATAGTGTTACTAACAGGCTTGATAGGAGAATTAATCTCCTTAAAGATAAAGATTCTGAGGACATAGAAATGGTCCCGGCCATGGAAACCAATATCCATAAATTATTTTTTGAGTTGGAAAAAACCCTCAAGTCTGAAATGAGAGATTGGTGGGATAGTGCCCTCCTGAAAAAATACATCGATAATAAATTTATCCCGAGAGGTCTGAGGTTTGAGAAACAACCATTTTTTAATGATAATACACCTCTAGAACAGGAGTGGCTGGGGGCTTTAGATACCTGCTCTTTTATACTTATGGATATTTTAATTAGATATAGAGAATCCAGGCTTTGTGTTACGGAAAAGAGTATTATGGATTTACAAGGACGGATAGGCTCTATTCAAGAGCAATCGTCTGTTATTTCTAAGCTAGATGAGGCCACCAATCAGAAACTAATTAGTTTCGAAAAGGAGCTCATTATGCGTAAAAAGAAAAAATTTCAGAGGGATAAACTTGATTATCAAAATGGACAAGTTAGGAGCTGGCAACGTAAACGCAGCTCCAGATCCACTTATAACCATCCAGTAGGATATAAGGAAGGTAGTCTTACCTGCTCTCATTTATCTCCAAAAGGGGGATTTAAACAGAAAATTGGGTCATATGCTGATATTGTGAGAAATCCCCGTTATGGAAAAGGATCTCGTTCTACGGTTTATGGGGAGAAAACAGCGATAAAAATAAAAAAGAATCCTATGCCGCCCCCACCACGTTATAACAACTATTCACCCAACCCTAATTATATCCCTTTGGGACGTAATTTTCGTCCCGATAAAGCAGAGGAGGTACCAAAGGTTGGGGTTGATTTGGTTGGTGGTTTGGGGGCGAGACCCAAGAAGATCAATCCACATAGAAAGCATGTTATAGATCATACAGATGATGATTTTTTAGAATCACTTCCCCAAATGGAAAAAGACAAAACATTCCCTTTATTCAAACGCCCCCAGAAAAGGAGGGGGGCTTTCGTAGAGGAACGAGGGGAAGGGGAAAACAGTCCCGCCAAAATGAGGTGCCTTTGATCAAAGGTTTATTTAACCTGTCAACATACAATCTAAATGTTGGGGAAATTTCTCTTCTGAATAAAGGACTTAAGTATGCCCCCGATAGATTACCAAACATAATTGATTTGTTTAAAGATCTGAACCACTTTATTAGAAAACTTACGGTTATCAGATCTTTTAATCTTAGGGATGCTAAGGGCAGAGAAGATTGTCCAAAGTCCTTAAATACCCCACAGGATAAAATTATTTTTCATAATCTTGTCTCATTATTAGAAGAACAGGATTTGCAAGAAGAGAAGGATGACCTTATCTGTATACTCAAGTCCAATATTTCATCTGGTTTAAAAAAACCCTCGACCTTTTATCCACAGGGAGATAAAGGTCCTTATTTACAAATGTTCTATGAACTAGTCCTGAAAGATCTGAAAATTCTTTGCGCTGATTATAAAAAGAAAAAAGATCTAGTGTGCATTAATTTGGAGGCATCTGAGAGAGCAGCTATTAATAGCCTAAAGAATAATCATAATCTTATTATTAAAGGGGCAGATAAGGGAGGGGGTATTGTCCTGCTGGACAGAGTGGATTATTTACAGGAAGCTGAGCGAATTTTGGGGAATTTAGAGTACTATGAGATTTTAGGGTCAGACCCTACTATATGCTTCAGAAAGGAACTGAGAGATCTCATAGAATCAGCATTTTTACATGGAGCCATTGATAAGAAAGAGAGGATTTTTTTTCTCTCAGCTCAAGGGGAGATCCCTATTTTCTATTACCTTCCTAAGGTGCATAAATCGCTTGAAAAACCACCTGGTCGCCCTATTATATCTGGGCTAGGGTCTCTAATTGCACCGATTTCTAAGTGGGTCGATTTCCATCTACAACGTTTTGTTCCACATCTACCGTCCTTCTTGAAGGATACTGGACATGTGTTGTCCATTGTTAATGAGTTAGAGTGGAAGGAACACTATTGTTGGCTCACGATTGATGTGGAAGCCCTATATTCTAATATAGATCATGTTTTGGGTTTAAAAGCCCTTACTTGGTATTTGAATTCTGATCCCCTTCTTCCAGCTCAACAGTCTGAATTTGTTATCAGGTTTACCGAATTTATGCTGAAACATAATTATTTTGAGTTTAATGGCAAGTTTTTTGTACAGACCAAAGGAACCGCGATGGGGGCGAGTTTCGCCCCATCCTATGCCAATTTATTTATGGGCTACTGGGAACAAGTTACGATCTTCGCCAACCAGTTTTGGATGGGGCGTCTCGCCCTCTATCGTAGGTTCATTGATGACATCCTCATTATTTGGAAGGGTAATTGGGGTGAAGTAGAGGATTTTATGATGTCCATTAACAATAATCAGTGGGGCCTCTCTTTTACACATAAACAACATAAATCTACTATAGATTTTCTGGATCTCACCCTAATTGGGGTTGAGGGTAAAATTATCACCAAGACATATCAGAAAAGTGTGGATGTTAATGGGTATCTACATGCTAGAAGTGGGCATCATCCCACGTGGATCCAGAATATCCCCTCGGGGCAGTTCACTAGAATCAGACGCAACTGCTCATTTATGTGTGAT